ACCTCCTGTGGTCCTCACCTAGAACATGTCACGCAGGTTGCACAGCCTGGGCATGTAAGTTCTCAGAGTCCGGCCATGGTGGTGTGGGCCAAGCCACCATCTATACCGGCATCCCATAAGGACACCAGCTTGGGGCCCGGCTCCTCCCTTGCTCCCACATATTTTTTAACTATCCAGACCAATGGATAGTTTCTGCTGTGTTCATTTGTGATCTGTTTGGCTGCTGAAGTAATATACTCAGTCCTGGAGCAACTGACCTTGGTGACCCCACCCCTCACATGTGCTGCGGTGAGGGTCACAGCTTGGACGATCCACAAAGCCTTGTTCATAATTGACACCAGCGTTGACAGACCAAGGTGGATATTCAATTCAGGCCTTCCTGGACCATAGATTGGTTGTCCAGCAAAGGTTCAGGAGCAGGGATTGTGGTCCCTCATGCCCATATCACTGAAGAACACTAGCTCTAGGTGAGTGAGCCAAGTGGGAGCTTCAGTGCCTGAGAGTGACACCTCCCTGGAGGTGGCAGATCCTGCTCTCGCTGTCCTACTCCTTCTACCTTGCTCCCTGTAATGGGGTGCTGCCATTGATGGCACACACTGGCTTGTCAGGTTAATGGGCAGCAGACAGGGCCCTGAAACAGAGTTTCTGCACCCCGCCCTTCCTACTTCCCCTCTTGCCATTCAAGTTAATTGAAGGCGTAAAAAGTGCACCCTGCTTGTCTTCCACACCATTCACAGCTGACAGTGCAGAAATTACCCCATAGGCTCCTCGCACCCGGCCCCTCCTGCCTCCTGTTGTGCTACCTTAGGTTAGGTAACTAGCTTTGGGCTCTGGTAACTCCATGCCTGCCTGAAACTTTGTACTGCATGGCTCTCAATCTGATCAGAGGATGAGAACTTAAAGACCCCTGTCTTTGTCAGCTTGGTGCAGTGGCTCCTGGAGTGTAGCAGGAGCTGCTGTCACCAAGCTTGGGAAATAGACTCCTCCCAACATCCTACACTTGGGTCCAGTGTGATCTCTATTGCACCCTGCAACAATCCCCCGGCTCTGCTTCCCCTGTCCTGCTTCCCCCAGCCCTGCTCCTCCTGCCCTGCTCCCCCTTCCCTGCTTGTGCTCCCCCAGGCCCTGCTTTCCCTGTCCTAATCCTCCTCCCTGCTTCCCCAGGCTCTACCTCTACCCTTGCCAGATGCCAACCAGAAGGCTACCCATCCAAACCTGTGCATCCTTCCTGAGAAGGACCCCCTGGTCATCCGTCACCGACATGAGCTCACTAGACATGATCATAGTCACATCCTACCTGCTTGGACCCCAGATCCCATGACTGCGCTCCCCCAGTGTTGCCAGGCTCTGCCATGCACCATGTGGGACCAGCTATATGCCGTGGCTGGGTGGTTCCTGCAACGAGCCACCACCAGCCATGTTCCTCTCATGCTCCCTGGGGGCTGTTGAGACTGCAGCTCCAAGCACCTGGAAAAATCCCGGCCATCATCCCTCTGAGTCTTGGCCCCATTTGTCCATTTCCTCTGGAAGTTGGATGGGAAACCCTGGGCCCCTGACTCTGCACTTGCATTCCCTCCTGTGTATTCTGTGCCACAGACTCACATTGGTCCCCAAGGATGCCCGTGAAACACCAGCCTTCCAGGCTGACTTCCTGGAGCCGGGTCCAGCCTGCTGGCCACCTCCCATATGCTCTGTCAACAATGACCCAACGCCAGGAGTCAGACTTAGTGTCATCTGTGCCTGTGTTTCTCCCATGATCCCATGCTCAAGGTTGCATGTCCAATGTCTGTTCTCCAGGGACCGATGGCAGGCTGCCCAGCTCCATCTTATAGCTGGGTTCTCCCCACGTGGCTTTGTGATGGCGTGCTAACCTCCTTACTGGGGTTTACCCATGGGAACTTTGAAGGCTGGGTGAGAGGCTCAGCATCTGCAGGACATCCAGGGCTGACTTCTGCTAGGCACCCGAGGACCACAAAAGCACGGACTATGGCTTGTCTATGCACCTACCGGGGAGGCTCCAGTCACACAGTGCTTGTGTGGGCTCACCTCAGGATGATCTCGCACACGGGCCCAGCATTGGCTTCCTTCATGCTGCCCCCCTGAGCATCCTGGCCTCAACAGAAATCACCACCCCCAGCTCCCCACACTGTCTCCACCATCCGTGACCCACAGCCCCAGACCTGCAGGGTCCGGTTCAACACCTTTTTCTGTGGTGGGACTGTGGCCTCCATGGGGCGCACTGGGATCGAGTGGCCAACATGACTACACATGGTGTGTATTTGGTAGGAAGTGGGGTGGGGCTAGGTGATGTGGGTCACTCAGGGTGAAGAGGGCGGGTTCCTGGCACAGAGGCCCCACATAGCTGCCCTCTAATTGCCCTTCCTGCCTACTCCACCTGCAAGGCCCACTGGACTTGTAGCTCCCCGAGAGGTGCAGGGTCCAGGGCTGCTCACCAGGAGTGGTAAGTGCCTTTGCGTGACACAAGGTGCTGGCTGTGCCCTCTTCCTGCTGCCTCCAGCATGCTGGGTCACCATCAGCACAAGACCCTGCTGCTCAGGGGTCACAGGTGAGACATATGGAGGTGCTGAAAGCACAAACTCCCCAGAGTTCAGAGCAACGCTGAGCCTGGTGAGAAAAGAGAATGTGTGGGCAAGAACGGTGGTGTGAGCTTGTGGGTAGGGAAGCTGTGGGCTCAGTGTCTTCTCTGAAATCCTGGCAGGTTTTCCAGAGGGATGGGTGTGGTCCCTTTCTCTCCTCCAAGCTAGGGCTCTTCAAGGCTGAGGGGAAGGGGGCCAGGGGCTGGGTGGCCCTGCAGCCACTCCCACCTGGGTTGAGTCATGGAAAAATGAAAATGGAGATTGCAGTTTTCCCTATCACAGGATTTCAGATGAACCAGCCAGTGTTACCTATTATTAAATCAGTGACATACACCATACTAATGAGGGAAATGAGTACTAATTCTCCAAAAAGATAAATATCAAGTAAAGAGCTTCCAATGAAAGAAAAACAGAAATATATGAGGAAAAATAAACTGAAAGCATTACCATCTGTAGTCCATTCCCATGGCGCAGACATATAACACCACACATAGCAAGTGTGACACTGGCCAAACTCTGACACACAGAGCAGGTGGGACACAGAACACACACTGACATACACAGCAGGGGTGACACAGAACACACTATGACACTGACACACACAGTAGGTGGGACACAGAACACACACTGACATACACAGCAGGGGTGACACAGGACACACTATAACACACAGCAGGGGTGACACAGGACACACTATGACACAGCAGGGGTGACACAGGACACACTATGACACACACAACAGTTGTGACACAGGACACACTGACACACACAGCAGGGGTGACACAGAACACACTGAGACACACAACAGTTGTGACACAGGACACACTATGACACACAGCAGGGGTGACACAGGACACACTATAACACACACAGTAGGTGGGACACAGAACACACTATGACACACACAGCAGGGGTGACACAGAACACACTATGACACACACAGCAGGGGTGACACAGGACACACTATGACACAGCAGGGGTGACACAGGACACACTATGACACACACAACAGTTGTGACACAGGACACACTGACACACAGCAGGGGTGACACAGAACACACTGAGACACACAACAGTTGTGACACAGGACACACTATGACACACAGCAGGGGTGACACAGAACACACTATGACACTGACACACACAGTAGGTGGGACACAGAACACACTATGACACACACAGCAGGGGTGACACAGAACACACTATGACACACACAGCAGGGGTGACACAGGACACACTATGACACAGCAGGGGTGACACAGGACACACTATGACACAGCAGGGGTGACACAGGACACACCATGACACACAGCAGGGGTGACACAGGACACACTGACACACAGCAGGGGTGACACAGAACACACTGAGACACACAACAGTTGTGACACAGGACACACTATGACACACAGCAGGGGTGACACAGGACACACTATAACACACACAGTAGGTGGGACACAGGACACACTATGACACACAGCAGGGGTGACACAGGACACACCATGACACAGCAGGGGTGACACAGGACACACTATGACACACACAACAGTTGTGACACAGGACACACCATGACACACAGCAGGGGTGACACAGGACACACTGAGACACACAGCAGGGGTGACACAGGACACATTATGACACACAGCAGGGGTGACATAGGACACACTGACACACACAGCAGGGGTGACACAGGACACACAACAGTTGTGACACAGGACACACCATGACACACAGAGCAGGTGGGACACAGGACACACTGACATACACAGAGCAGATGTGATGTGTGACAGGGTCCTGCCTCAAGACACCTAGGAACACACCTAGCTCCCTTCCCTCACACCCTCACTCCCAGGTGCTTGTCAACTGTTACAGGCCACAGAGTCATGTTATAGTAAAGCTGGGGAGTTGAGTCCCACTGTGGACACCTGTGGTTAGTGGAGGTTCAAGGCCTTCTCTGAACTTCTGGGATTTTCTGAAAGCTTACAGCTGACACTAATTGTAGCTCTGCATGGAGGATGCTCTGCCGAGTACACACAGTGGGCCAGGCCCAGCAGGTACAGGTGTAGGTACAGGTGTGCCTGCCAGATACACTAGTGCTCAAGCTGACCTGAGTGTGCAGAGTGCAGCCTGGTCAGCAGCCCACAATGCCCCCCACCCTGTCCTCACACCCAACACCTCAGACAGTAGCCGAGGCAAGGGCAGGAACCTGTAGCAGGGCAGTGCCTGGCTCAGCACAGGGACAATGCATTAATCTACATGGGGAGGGTGAAGGGTGAGTGCTGGAGAGGCCAAAGTCCCAGGGAAAACAGATAGGCATCAAGCTGAACTGTTCCCCACCTCTGTCAAAGCTGACACATGCAGAGGCATTTCCCCGCTCTGGGCATCTGAGGGACCACACACTCACAGTGGCAGGACAGCACATACGTTTATTAGGGAAGGAACCAAGGGTCCCATGGAACACAGCAGGTGTTTTTTAAAACTTGTCCCTGGCTAGAGCACACAGATGACCACGGATAGACAAATGGACCAGAGTACAGAGCCGCCCATGGGAGCGGTGGGACTTGGGTCACCTCCTTGGTGGGGACAAAATGAGACATGAAACACACAGCTTGATCTGAATGGGCACTGGTCGAGCTGCACCTGACACGAAGGAAGCTTGTATGTCTGCTTGCACACATGCACAAACACATTTACACACATGTGCAGACATACATATATACACAGCTACATACACACAAATGTGGGGGACTACTGTATGCATGAGGAGCAGTGCTGGGTTGGGGTGCAGACTCTTCCTGGGCATAACACACCACTGTCTACTCAACAACTGCACTTTGTCAGCTGAAAAGTGCAAAACAAACAAATAAATAAACTGCGTTTCAAAAAGGTTTCCTGATTGAAAAAAAAAGACTTCATGTCAACCATAGCAAACCTATTTTAAGGGGTGTTCCACAGGACACCCACTTTCCTATCAGGCCAGGGGGCTCTGCTCCCTAGGACACCCACCTCCCTGTCAGGGCAGGGGGCTCTGCTCTCACAGGACACCTTCCCACTTCCTTCTCAGGCCAGGGGGCTCTGCTCCCATAGGACACCTCCTCCCATCTCCCTGTCAGATCAGAGTGCTCTGCACCCACAAGACACCCACCTCCTTGTCAGCCCAGGGGACGCAGCTCCCACAGGACCACACCACCCTATGTCAGGGTTCCCCTGGAGGGCAGTTACCCCAAGATGTCTTTATACTGGTTGCCACCAGATGGCACTGTTCTACCAGTGGTTTTAAACTTCCACACATTGGAAATTTTAGTAGGGTAACAAATTGGGTTATTTTCTTAGGTCCATTTCTTCCAAACAAAAAGGATATAATGCCTCAAAACACAAGACATGCACATGAGACAAGCCCTCTGTGACATGTCTCACATAAAGACGGCCATGTGCGTCCTTCTTCAGCAACCAGGACACCATAGGCTTCCGTCCTTAATGCCAAACATCTCCAACCTGGGCAGCTCAGGCGGCAGCCAGCAGTCGGCCCTAAGCTCTGAGACATCCTTGCAGCTATTTGACAACTGATAGAAACAAGCAGCAGGTTAGTGTTCACTTAGAGCAAGATGGGCAATATCTGCCACCTGGTGCAGCCAGTCCTTATGGGCAGTGCCCAATGCCAGGGGCTTTCCCAGGGCAGCTACAGCCTCTTCTTCTGCAGCACCTGTCCATTGGTTCCCTCGGGCCAGCTGCCCTTGGCTGCGGGCTGTGCAAAGTTCCAATCCACCGGATTGAGAAGCTGCTGCGTCTTCTTGTGGGTCCAGTAAGGATTGAGAACGAATGTGAGCAGGGCTAGCCCCACCAGGAAGAGGGCGAAGTGGGGCAGGTAGAGGCTGGCGATGAGGCCATCCCAGTGCCAGAAGCACACCCACCACATATGATAGGTGAGCACCATGCGGCAATGGAACATATGGATCATCAGCCACTGGTTGAGCTTCCAGAAGAGGCAGTCAGACCAGCCAGCCTGCGGACACAAAGAGCATGCATGAGCACAGCCTACCTGGCACCAAGACAATGCCTGCTCCTCACCTCCCCAACACAAGGTTCTCCTCACAGCCCCTTCCCCTCTCCTCACCTACCAACATGGGGTTTTCCTCATAGCCTCTGCCCCTCCCCTCCCCTATCAACACAGGTTCTCCTCACGGCCCCTGCACCCTCACCTCCCCAACACATGTTCTTATAGCCCTGTCCCTCACCTCCCCAACACAGGCTCTCCTCACAGTCCCTGCCCCTCCCCTCACCTATCAACACAGGTTCTCCTCACGGCCCCTGCACCCCTCACCTCCCCAACATGGGATTCTCCTCACAGATCCTGCTCTCTCAACAGGTGGCACAAATCCTGCTGGCCACTGACTGTCCCTCCTATTCTTTCTGATTTCTGCTCCTTAAAGCAAAATTGGATCCTGGTGTTCAGTACCTTCTTTCCTGGCCCTGCATATGTCAGGGAAATAGCTCTATACTCAGCAGGACTTGGAGACACAGCCACCAAGCCCCCTGTCGGAAAGCTGCGAGAAGTCTCTCTCAGAAGATTTAGGGTGAGCAGCACGTCCTGGTGTGTTTGGCCCTCCACACCCATCACACCCATGGGCCTTGAATACACACCATACCCCTTTGCACCAGCAGTGGCTCCAAAGTCACAGTGGTTGCTGAACAGGGAACCTGAGGTGTCAGACCATAGGCTGTGAGGCCAGGAGCCTGAACTGGGCAGGGGAGGGGGCACCAGGTTGGCCAAGGGCTCCAGACCAAGGACCTTCAAGGCCTCTGATGGGAAGCCTGAGCTGCAGGTACCCAAGCTGGGAATGATGTCCCACACTTGCAGAGGGAAAATGTGCAGTAAAGGGCAGGGGGTTCTGGAGCCCAGCAGGGCCATGAAGTGAGGAGGGTAAGGGTGGGAGCTGGGCTGGTCACTAACCACCTGGACCGGTCACTAACCACCTGGACCTGAAGAAAGGGCTGATCATGTTAGAGGTGCAACCACTGCACCACCTTCTGGGAGCTGCTAAGTCGATACCACTTGTCATTAGGAAAATGCAAATCAAAGCCACTGGAATTCCCATCACACTAGAAGACTGAGTGCTGGCCAGGACGTTGGGACAGGAAGGCTGCACCTCACAGTGAGGAGGCATGTCACCTGAAGCTCCAACAGCGACATAACTACTGCATGGGGTCCAGCAATCCCAGCCTGGGAATGAAGCCACAGGACATGGGAGCCATCCATCTATGTGAGGCACACTTGTGCATACAGATTCAGGGTAGCACAATTCATGAGAAACATAAGAGCCAGAGTACTCAACCAAGGGCTCACGGCTAACTTGACATGCACAGCCACCAGAGTCCTCAGCCATGCGTGCATACATTGACACACGCACAGCTGACCTCACGAATACACATGCATACATCCTCCAGAGTTTACCACTAGCCATAAAAGGACAAAGCCGAGACATGTCATGTGTGCTGCAGGGCGCTGGCTTTAGTGAAACATGCCAAGCCCAGAAGGGAATATCCCCAGCATCTCAGTGATGTGTGGCGTTTGAAACTTGGACTCCTCAGAGGCTGAGTGGAAGGGTGGCCATCAGCGGCTGAGCAAGGCAGACTGAGGGGCAAGAGCACAGCTGCCCAGGGGTGAGAGCTGAGGGGTGTTCCTGCACAGGGTGGGAGTGCACATTATGGCCACGTGCTGTATGTTCTCTCAGCAGACAGAGCAGAGGAAGAGGACAGGCACTGAACGTTTTCAAGACAGAGAAACATTAACTGAGGAGAGAAGTGTAGCCTGACTGGATGTTATGTGTGTACACATCACACAGTGGCTCAGAGAGCAGGAACTCTTCATGTCTCAGTCTAAAAAGGTTAAGTCTGCTTTCACAATGATCTAAAATACATATACACTGCTGTAGCCAGAAAACAAAACAACAAAGACCCAATGGATTACCTTAAAAAAGGCACAGGAATGATGCTGAACTGTGGCATTGTGGGTAAAACCACTACCCGCAGGGCTGGCATTCCATATAGGTGCCAGTTCATGCCCCAGCTGCTCCACTTCCAATCTACCTCCCTGGTTATAGCCTGGAAAAGCAGCAGAGGATGGCCCAAGTCTTTGGGATCCAGTACCCAGCTCTAGTAGTTGTAGCCATTTAGTGACTGAACCAGTAGATGGAAGATCTCTGTCTCCTCTAACTTTACCTTTAAATAACAAATAGATCTGAAAAAAAAAAATGGGCCCGGCGCGGTGGCGCAGTGGTTAAGGTCCTCGCCTTGCACGCCCGGGATCCCATATGGGCACAGGTTCTATCCCGGCAGCCCCGCTTCCCTTCCAGCTCCCTGCCTGTGGCCCGGGAAAGCAGTCGAGGATGGCCCAAGGCTTTGGGACCCTGCACCCGCGTGGGAGACCCGGAAGAGGCTCCTGGCTTCGGATCAGCATAGTATCAGCCGTTGTGCTCACTTGGGGAGTGAATCATCGGACGGAAGATCTTCCTCTCTGTCTCTCCTCTCTGTATATCCGCCTTTCCAATAAAAATAATAATAATAATAAATCTTTTTAAAAAATGTCACATTTAGTAAAAAAAAATACATAGGAGGGGCTGGTGCTGTGACTCAGCTGGCCAATCTGCCACCTGTAGTATCAGGTCCATGCACAGGTCCTACCTGCCCCACTTCCAATCCTGCTCCCTGCCTACGGCCTGGAAAGCAGCGGAGGATGGCTGGTATGCTGGGCCCCTGTACCCACGTGGCAGACTTGGAGGAAGCCTCTGGCTCCAGCCTGGCCCACCACTTGACTGTTTTTACCATCTTAGGGGTAAAACCAGTAGGTGTAGATCTTTCTCTTTCAAATAAATAAAGTTTTAAAACAAACAAAAATAAACCTAGCACCTCCTAGTCCGAGGGAACTGGGCAAACGCTCCCAGGCCAGAGGACTCAGAGGTCATTGGCAGGAATGAGTGAGGGGAAGTTAAACCCCAAGTCACTTCTGTTGAGAAACCACATGGCCAGGTTGCCTGGCCTGGAGGCCCTTGTGGGTCTCCAGCAATGGGCCACACAGGGAACTGGTTCTCAGTTCACACTCTGCTGGGGCATCCCAGGCATCCCATTAGCTTCCAAGTGGCCTAATCTGAGTCACAGATGCTAAGGTTATGGCCAACTGCCACCCTTGGGTCCAAAGGTGGTGGGCTAGCCTAGGCAAAGGGGCTATACCCCACTGTCACAGCTCCTCAGCTTCAGCAGGGCAGCACTAGCGCATGCTACTCTGGCTGCTTCTTTAAAACAAAACAAAATAAATGTTTTACTGGCAGTCACAGAGAGAAAGGCCAAGACAGACCTTCCATTTCACTAAAACATGAAACACAGCACTCAGAAGTGAAAGTACGGAGTACATGCAAAGCCTGACACCACCATGAGATACAGGAATGAAAATGCACAGAAGCTGCGAGCAGCTATCATGAGTCACCAGGGAGTCAATGGTGTGATCTGACCAAGACAGCTCAGGCCTTGTGGGGAGCCAAGTTGATCGACACCCACAAGAAAATCAATGTAGAACTTACAGGAAAATAACTAACACATTAGTTTTGAGAGCATATCATAAATACACCAGAAAAAAGCACAAGGAAATAAATTTTGGACTTTTTAAGTGGGAAGTAGCTTTCTCAACATATTGAAAATCATGAGTCTCAGGGCCAGTGTTGTAATATAGTGTGTCAGGCCACCACCTGTGGCACCGGTATCCCATATGGGTGCTGATCTGTGTCGCAGCTGCTCCACTTCTGCTCCAGCTCCCTGTTCATGAGCCTGGGGAAGCAACAGAGGATGGCCCAAGTGACATCCATGTGGGGGATCTGGAAATGTTCCCAGCTCCTGGTTTCAGCCTGGCCCAGCCTTGGTTGTTGCAGCCATTTGAGGGGCAAACTAGCAATTTTGCATCCACCCTCAGTACCCCCTCCCTTCCTCCTTCTCTCCCTCTCTATAACTTGGCCTTTCACACAAATCCAAAATAAAATCTTTTTTAAAATCTCATGAATATCACAAGTAAAACTTGACATTGCTAAATGGTGACAAAAGCTGAAGAATGAATGGAAAATACTTTAGTCTTCAGAGTCAGCAAAAGCCAACCCTGCTGAACAGCACGGCCAAGTCAAGGACAGGCAAAGTGGCCAGAGAAGAAACACTCACTGGCTGCCCTGAGGGAAGAAAAACAAAGCAGCCAGCAGAGGCTGGCAGGGCTCGGGAGCACACAGCTGGACGGACACTCACACACAGTCCACGTCCACACACACCCCGAGTTCCATTCATGGTGGCCATGTGCCTCCCACACACAGGGTCCACACACACACCAGGAACTCCCATCATGGTGGCCATGTGCCCCCCACACAGTCCACACACACACCAGGAACTCCCATCATTGTGGTCATGTGCCCCCCATACAGTCCATACACACACCAGGAACTCCCATCATGGTGGTCATGCACCCAGAAACACAGTCAGCACACACACAGGGACCCCTTCATGATTGCCATGTGCCCTGGGACATGGTCAGGACAGCGTCAGCACAATAGGGACAGCTCATGTTCCCCAACAGCCATTGTCCCAACAGCAGGAGAGTAGGACACCTCCTCCCACATGGGGCTCTCCTGAGCGAGGCTGCGCTGCTGCAGTTCCAGGGACACCAAAGTTGCCATGACTCACAGTGTGCACAGGGGCAAATTCACCCTAGGGGCCAGCATTTCCCCTGGGGAGGAAGCAGGAGCTGGGCAGTTGCACCTCTCAGCAAGACTATGCTAGCTACACTTTCCACAGGAAAACACGCTCCAGGGTTCACTGAACACTATTGCATGAGAATACTAAATAGTGCTTGACACACCAGAATGATTAGAACCTTCTACAACTTCTACCAAAGTCAGCCTCTGACTTCAGGCACAGCTGCAGCAACCAGAGCCTACTGCAAAGGTGACAGTCCTTAGCTCCATGTGTCACAAAGTAGACCCACTCTTGGGACAATTTACACCTGTCACCAGCTGTTCTGAGCAAGGTGACAGCTCTGGGAGGGAGCAGGATGGCCAGGGCCTGCCTGAGGTAAGGCAGCTGCGTGTGGGAGGGGTTGGCCCAAACCAGGTCACCAGGCCCAGTCCACACTGTAGGCTTTGTGCCCCAGGCTCTGGCTAACATCTGCATCAAAGAAGACGCAGGAAACATCTGAGAGGGTTCCAAGAGTGTTGAGTCAGTGTGATATGCACAACAGCTGGCACTGTGCCAACATATACACACTACAGGACATGAGGACATGGACTCACATCACCCAGAAGAACATAGGGACACAGGAACAAGGCTCCACCTCACCATGAGAAACACAGGGACACAGCCAATTGCACCTGAGCTGTCCGCACAGGCATCTGCAGTCAGATCCGAGTTCTGGGGCTGTACCCCTCCACTGTACTCCTGGCTTGTCACCACCACCTCCACACTGACTGATTCGCAGCAGTGACCTCAGGTTCAGCCTCACTCTACCTCCTCAATCACACCTCAAAAAACTCACAAAATGTGAATGGGGAAGGTGGCACTGTGGGTAAGGCTGCCATGTGCAACACAAGACCTGGCTGCTCCACTTCCAATCCAGTCACTGCTCACGCCCTGGGAAAGCTGCAGAGGTTCCCCAGTTGCCTGGGCTCCTGAATCCAACGTGACCTGGATGAAGCTTGAGGGGCCTGGCTGTGGATGCTTGCTGCAGCAATATGGGGACTGAATCAGTAGACGGAATCTCTTCCCCAATCTCCCTCTCTTCCTGTCACTTTGCCATTTCAAATAACAAATAAATCATTAAAAGAATTCTCAAAATGTTTGCTCACTAAAAGTGGTTTTTCAAGTCACCATGATAGCATAGTGGTTAAAGTCCTCGTCTTACATGCCCGGGATCCCATATGGGCACAGGTTCTAATTCCGGCGGCCCCACTTCCCATCCAGCTCCCCGCTTGTGGCCTGAAAAAGCAGTCAAGGACAGCCCAAAGCTTTGGGACCCTGCACCTGCATGGGAGACCTGAAAGAGCTCCTGGCTCCTGGCTTCGGATTGGCTCAGCTCCAGCCATTGTGGCCGCATGGGGAGTGAACCATCGGACAGAAGATCTTCCTCTCTGCCTCCTCCTCCTGTCTGTATATCTGCCTTTCCAATAAAAAAATAAATAAATCTTTAAAAAAAGTGTTGTTTTTTACATTATTGACAGTCACTCCAGAACCATGAACTGCTGTTCGTGAACTACCTCATATATCAAACACTCAACATTGTGAAAAGTGACAATCACAAGTCAGCGTCACCTGAGGGGTGACAGGCGGGGCTCTGGGACCAGAGTCCCTGCACAAACCTCCACGATGCTCAACTTGTTCACAGACATGGAATGAGAATTACAGCTACTTAGTGCAAAACAAAATCTGAAATTTACATATATGAGGGCATCTGACTGCTGGCCTGTACTGCTTGCTTCTCACCTGACCTACAGGATACATTTATGAGGCTTCTGCACAAGATGAGGTGCTGTGATGTGCAAAATATACAAACACACAATGGGTGTGTGACACATGTTTGTGGGAAGTACTGTGTGCAGGTTATGTGCAGCATCACTATGTGTGGCACCTCTGCGTGAGGTACTGTGAGTGAGAGTGCAGAAGACATGCAGTGTCACTTTGTGTGACACATATCTGTGTGACGTACTGTGAGTGTGTGTAGGTTATATGCAGTGTCACTATATTACACACATGTGTCAGGACTGTACACACATGTGTAGGTTATATGCAAATATTCAGTGTGTCAGAGAAGAGACTTTACTGTCCATGTCCTGTGGCATGCTACAGCTAAACTTCACAAGACACCAACGAACCAAGGACTAAGCCTCAATCTGTCTGATCTACACACCCACAAGTCAGTGGCAGCACCTCTCTTTAATTTGTAAGCTATAGCTCTGATCAAACCTGACCTCTGTGCAGGACTCTTAGGCAGAATTCACCAGGTTTATTTATGCCACTTGCTGGGTCCTGTGCTTGCCAATGTAGCACTTAGCACAAACCCCACCCTAGGCAGACTCACTGACCTCCAGCTGCAGTCATCACAGACAACTGACCACTGCATGGTCTCCATCAGTTGAGCAGCAAGCGCAGGGTAACACTTGCACCACCCTGCACCCTGTCGCGTGGGGACATCTCCAGAGCTCAGCACATGCAAAGATAGGCCCGTGGCCATAGAGAATTTTTGGTGGCCCGAACAGAGTGAAAAGAGAGGAACACCACACACCCCGCCGCCTCACTGAGCACAGGGAGAATGCTACATAGACTCCCTGAGAAGTGCAGCCGACATGACTGACCTCTTCCCTCTGCTCTGAAGAATGTACAAGAAAAACCAAGAGTCTCAGTTCACTACAACCTCTGTGCTAGAGCCCAGCAACAGCCCCAGGAGGGCGTCAGGTATTGTCAATCTCACTGCACACAAGCAACTGCACTGTCAGGAGTGCTGCAACTGACCAGGCCCAGGGTGCCAGAGCTTGAGTGCTTCCTGGAGCCAAAGGGCTGAGACAGCCTAAAGTGCCCGCAGCACGGCCTGTCCACCTTAGGCCAGCTCCAAAGTGGCAATTGTCCTGAACCCAGCGCTGGGATCCCTTGAGCTTCCAGTAGCCTGTGCATTCTGACACGCCAGGGCACCAGCCTGGCAGTGCTCCCAAACCACTTGTTTCTCCTGAGTGCCTGGCAAGGAGCCACACCACTTGTGGCCATTTCTCTAGGCAGAGCTAGCCTGAATCACTCCAGTCCCCACTCCTCACCCAGGACCACCTCCAAGGTCATCCCGTGCCCAGAGCCTGACAGCCCTGTGCTGGGCTGGAACTTCCCAGCTCACCTCACTCGCCCACCATGACTCAGCTTGCCCTACCTACCCCTCCCAGGCCAAGCAGAGACCGGCTGGGCCTGGACACTGCATACACTCCTGACCGATCACACCCATTCTGGAGCCAGACCCAGATGGCCCTGTGGGATGCCAGCAAGGATTCACTGAACCCAAGGTTCCTGTATGGTGTATGACACCAGCCACTATTGCTGCATAGGGCATGGGAAGTATGCACAGAGCGTGTAACATGTGCACAGAGCATGTGACACGTGCAGAGCATTGACATGCACACAGAGGGTATAACATGTGCACAGAGTGTGTGTCCTGTGCACAGAGCATTGACATGAGCAGAATGTGTGATACGAGCAGAGCACGTGACATGCACAGAGCATGTGTGTACACAGGGCATGTGGCATGTGCACAGAGTGTGTGACGTGCACAGAGGGTGTATGGCGTGTACACAGGGCTGTGATGTGTGCACAGTGTATGACATGTGCACAGAACATGTTAGCATGTGCACAGAGAGTGTGACATCCACACTGCTCCTGACACCCTGCCACCATGGACCTGAAGGCCCTGCAGGCAGGACATTCTATGCTGTCCCTCTCAAAGCTTCCCATAGTGTTCCGTATACATGAGCTTGAACCCCCTTATGAGACTGGTTGAACATCAGCCACTGTTTTCTAAGTTTCACATAAAACCTGTGAATGATGTAACATGTGATAAATGATCACAAGAATCTATGCTTAGAAATAACTTCTAAGGGCCTGGCGGTGTGGCCTAGCGGCTAAAGTCCTCGCCTTGAACGTGCCGGGATCCCATGTGGGCACTGGTTCTAATCCCGGCAGTTCCGCTTCCCATCCAGCTCCCTGCTTGTGGCCTGGGAAAGCAATCAAGGACAGTCCAAAGCTTTGGGACCCTGTACCCACGTGGGAGACCCGGAAGAAGTTCCTGGTTCCCGGCTTCGGATCGGCACAGCACCGGCCATTGCAGTCACTTGGGGAGTGAATCATCGGATGAAAGATCTTCCTCTCTATCTCCTCCTCTGTATATCTGACTTTGTAAAAAATAAATAAATCTTAAAAAAAAAAAAAGAAAAAAGAAATAACTTCTAAAAAACTTAGAATGAAGAACACTCTGAGATCAAAATGAGAATTGAGATTATGAAAGGTGACCACTTGTTAAAAAAAAAAAAAACCTTTAAAAATGAAAAGCAGCAAGATCCAGGCAAACTGAATGTTTCCAACACTACATGACCACAAGGAGACCTGCTTTAGGCAAAACAACAAAGCAGAGTGGGAGCTGTGGTGCAAGTGGTGAAGCGATAGCTTGGGACACCCACACGTCGTATCTGAATGCCAGGCACCCAGCTCCACTGCCACCTTCCCATCCAGCCATCCAGCTCCCTGCTGAGTGCCTGGGGGATGGTGGATGGCAGTTCTGTGCCCAGGCCTCAACCCCATGGGACACCTAGCTCTGGGCTCTGGGCTTCAGCCTGGCCCTGCCCCAGCTGCTAGAGTGAACCAGCAAATGAAATAGCTTTTTCAAAACAGTTTGAAAACAAAAGGGGAGGTGGGGAAAGCAGAGAGAAAAAATAAGCATTAGGATGAACAATCGCTGGGCACTGAACTATAAAATCTACTGAGTTTGCGTTTGAGGAACAGGAAGCCCTGCCAGGTTAAAACTGAGCAAACCCGTCACTGAGCATAGATGTGGCAACTGGGCCAACACTGTCTCTGCTAGAGGCTGCCCTAGCCTGGGACTCAGCTGACACTGTGCCCAGCAAAGGCCCCCCTGGCTTGGAATGCGGCTGATACTGTCCCCAGCTAAGACTGGGACGCAGATGAAACTGCACTTCCTCTTACCAGCAGATAACTCCCTGGCCTGGGATGTGACCGAAATTGTACCCCACAAAGGCCTCCCCGGCCTGGGACATGGCTGACACTGCACCCCACCCTCCCTAGTAGAGACCACCCTGGATCACTCACCTTCAGCAGCATCCAGGAAGTACAAGTGAAAGGGGTGCTCATCTCCAGGAGCAGGGTAGTCATGGCCAGGTAGTGGCCAGCTCCCAGGTTAGTCACCAAACCCAGGAAGCCCAGGAAGGCAAAGAGGTGGTGGATGACCAGGAACACGTCGAGGCTGCGGAAGAATAAACCGGACAGGTGCACAGCGACGTTCTCAAAGAAGAAGAACCCAGTGGCGGTGGTAATGTGAAACCAGCACCAGTTCTGCTGCCCAAGTGCCTTGTCCTGCTGCAGCACTGGGTCCCCCAGCAGGGCCCAAAGGCCCGCGGCTGTGCTCTGGACACCAAAGACGGCACGCGTAGCCGCCAGGTCCCAGAAGACCTTCTCTCTGGCCACCAGAGAGCGGTAGGTGGTGTTCAGGGACGAGGAGAGCTGGTGGCAGACCACAAAGACACCCAGGTAGAAGACAAAGCCGGCACCCACCAATGTCAAGCGAATTGTCCAGGAGGCATAGTCCAGGTCAAAGACACTCTCTGAGGGGCCCTCAGCATTGGCCGGCATCATCACACTCCAAGGCACGGTCGTGGCCCCACACTGTCCTGTTGGAGAAGCTGAGTCCGTGCAGCTGAGTCCAGGGTTGTCATGTATCTATCACTAGTCTGTGGAGAGAGCAAGCAAGGTCACTGATGGCTAAGCAGAACCAGGACACACCACAGCTCCAGAACATGAAAACATCACAACAGCATGTGGTAAGCAACTAGGGCAGCCTATGGCTCCTCCTCTACAGCTCATCCACTGCTCCATCCCAGCTTTCATCCCAGCTCCAGCATCCTGCTGAATGTCCCCCCAGAGAGCCTCAGGTGATGGCCTGTGTACCAGGGTTCCTGTACTGCAATGGGAGGGACAGATTCCTGCCCCAGGGTTAGTCAAGCCCCAGGAAAGGGGAACAGTGTCACCCAAGCCCCCCCAACCTCCAGCTGCAGGATAGCCAGAGGGCACTGACATTGGTGCTCCCAGCACTCCTTCCCATGCTGCGTTTGCACAGAGAGGGACAAGTGAGACTTTGGATCAGCAGTTAACTGGCAAGCTGTGTGCAACCACCCTCAGCACCCACATGGGACTCGGCCAAACAACACCCACACATACAGCCTGTGTGCCTGGCTGCCTGCATATGGCACACACCATGACAGCTCAGGGTTGGTCTCTCCTGGTCCCATGCTCTTGCCAGGCTGAGGCTCTTGTCAAGTAAAAGCCACACCTGCTGTAGACAAGGAAATCCTGACAGCCTTTCTAGTTCTCAAAACCAAGGTGACAACTATCATGTCAAACATGAAAACAATGCCCTGAGCTGTCATCAGGTATGACAGCTTAGCCTAAGGCCACGGGCCAGGCCATGTGCATCCAGTTCCTAAGAGTGCTTTCTGGTCCCAGTGGCTGCTCCCAGCTGTGGAGTGCGTGGAGCCATGGTAGCCCCACTTGGAGCCCATCAGGCAAAGGAAGCCACAATCCTGCTCTGTAGCAACATGAAACCCAAGCTTCCCTCTTGTGTGGCACTTGTACATTTCTGCTATTCCATTAGCCAGTTTCCTAGTCTACCTTGAGATTGATCAAACCCAGAAAATACACAAGACATACCTCACCATTTCAACCATGACTTACTCAATCCTTCTACGGTGGTTTTCCTTTTTTGTTTTGTTTTGGGTTTTTGTTTTTATTGGAAAGGCGGATATACAGAGAGGAGAGACAGAGAGGAAGATCTTCCGTCCGATGATTCACTCCCCAAGTGAGCGCAACGGCTGATGCTATGCCGATCCGAAGCCAGGAGCCTCTTCCGGGTCTCCCACGCGGGTGCAGGGTCCCAAAGCCTTGGGCCATCCTCGACTGCTTTCCTGGGCCACAGGCAGGGAGCTGGATGGGAAGCGGGGCTGCCGGGATAGAACCTGTGCCCATATGGGATCCCGGGCGTTCAAGGCGAGGACCTTAACCACTGCGCCACCGCGCCTGGCCCTGTTTTGTTTTTTAATGATTTATTTATTTGTACTGGAAAGGCAGATATACAGAAAGGAGGAGAGACAGTGAGGAAGACCTTCCATCCAATGATTCACTCCTCAAATGGCCACAAGGGCTGGAACTAAGTTGATCCAAACAAAGCCAAGAGCCAGGAACTTCTTCCAGGTCTCCCACACAGGTGCAGGGTCCCAAAGCTTTGGACCGTCCTTGACTGCTTTTCCAGGCCACAAGCAGGGAGCTGGATGGGAAGCGGAGCTGCCGGGATTAGAACCGGCGCCCAAATGGGATCCCGGTACGTTCAAGGCGAGGACTTTAACCGCAACACCAGGCCCAATTTTACTTGTTTAGTGCTAGTTAACCCTACAAGAAGGTCCTGAGAATCCATATGCTCGGTCCCCAACTCGAGTCTACCGAGTCACCTGTCTTCCCAGGTAGCAGCCCACTATCTCTGCCATCTCATTCCACACTACGAGGTCCAATTCTCTGCTGGACACCATGTCCTCCTCGTCCCAGGCAGGGTGGGTGACCTCAGATGCCCTCACCTGCTGTGACACCTGACCTCCTCCAGGCACTGAGCAGGCCAAAGGCACAGGCCTCACCTGCTCGCTAACCTCCTCGTCCCACAGCAGCAGGCCTCTTCGGACCACCAGACGTGTCAGAAAGTTCTATGACCTGCCCAAGTGTCCAAAGTTGCCTAAGTCTGGACTTGGCTGTGTTTGCAGCATCTTAAGTTCTCACACTGAGAGGACCGTATGAGCTACCTGCTCTGGCCCCTCACCTACACAGCAGGACCACCGGGCACCGCCAGGGACAAGGACTTCGGTCCTGGCCCCTCTTGTTTGTGGAAGGCAGTCCCCATCACACCAGGGCTCCTGGCTGGCTGAGGTGTGAGATGATAAGTGTAGCACCAAGCACTGAAGGCTGGGCTGGCAGCTCACCCACAGAACTTCAACAGCAATCGGCTACTCAGCTGCTTAAGCCACCACAGCCACACACCTTGAAGGGCACGCTCACTCGGGCACCAGCTCTGGACTCAGGACGAAGGACACGCACACACAATGGACTCAACTCAGACCATGATTACACAATCAAAGGTAAAACTGCAGCAGCACCTGAGCACAGCTGAAAGTTGAGGCACAGACTGTGTCCAGTCCCGTGGAAGCTGCCCTGTGCAAGGGCACGCATGCACACGCATGGCAGCATGCCAGGCCAGGCTACAGTTTACTTACACACACACAAGTGCACTCCAAGGCTAACCTGCACCTGCACTGTGTTTAACATGGTGTGAGGGACTAGTAAGAGCTCTCATTTCTGGCACCCAGCCTGTGGCAGGCACCTGTTACCCCTGGCACTTCACAGGACACGTGCCCTTCACATTGCTACAGAGCTGGGGAGCAAGCACATTCCCTCCACCCTTGCCGCGTCCCAGCCTGCAGACAGCCTGCCGTTGCACAACCACAGCTGCCCCTAATGCTTCCTCGTGTGCTTCCCCACAAGTCAGTCATGAGCTCGGGTCCCAGTTCCCGTTTTGCCACTGACCACATCCACAGGCTCCTGGCCAGGCCATCCATCCCCAAAATCCTTGAGCAGGGACTGGGATCCACCCTGCAGTGGGTATGGGGACACGAGCTGCTCAGGGGGAGCTCTGGCCAACTAGTGGGTCAGAAACTAAGTCGAGGGAGCTTAGCAGCTTCTCCTCCTGGTCTCCCCACTTAGAAATTAAGAGAACAAGTTCTCTTCTTTCCCACACCAGACCCTGATGTGTGTGGGAACAAGCAGCACCTACTGCCCAGTTCCTCTGACCCCACCCAGGCCTCTAGGTCCTTCCTGGAGATGGTATCACGGACAGAGGTAACTGCAGGTAAGTCAGACGAAAGGTAGGTAGCCTCCTGTACTCCCAGCACAGCTGCCAATCACAGCCAGCCCCACAATCAATCAGCAGCTCCACCTGCTGGGACTCCCTCCACTGTCCCCCAGTCACAGTGTCTCACGTTGCTGTGTACACACGGCCTGCCTACGCAAGTAGGTACTGTTTTACTCCATCCACTGGGGGCCTCCCAGACCTCTGACTACAATCAGCACCCCCTAGCCAAGGTGGGGTGGGGGATTCACTCCTCAACTGCCTGAGCCCAACAGTGGAGGATGAAGACCAACCAGGCACTAGTCCGCCAACCCGGGGTCTATGAAGCCCTGCTGACCCTGCAGGGGTTATGCTGTCCCAGCACAGCAGGCAAGCATTCCCAGAGGCCATGCACACTGGGCGTGGGAACACCTCCAGTTCTCTGACCACATCCCTCTCAGTCTTACAGGGTGTCCCCATCATCCCACACCCCACAGACTTCTGCAAGAAGTCACAGTTCCTGCCCAAGGCAAAACCAGAAACCCAGTGGCACAGCCTGACCACACCCTTTCAGCCTCCACAGCTTTACCTGTCCACCCTAGCACTGCAGGCTCTGGGACCAGGACAGCAAGACTCCAAGCGCTGCTGACCTGGCCTGGCCTGGCCCAGCCCAGTGCAGTCCAGCCCGGTCTGGCTCGGCCCAGCCCAGCTCACCCAGGCTCAGTGCAGCCCACTCTGGAGCAGCCCCAGCCAGGCCAGGGCCTGAGTAAGCAGCAGTGGTATCCCCCACCTGGGCACTAGGCAGTGCCCACGTGACTACATGAATATGAACTCATAGGCGAGAAGGGAAGTCCAGTATAGCAATGTGATAGGACTGGGCTTCCTGCGCAGTCAGCATCCTTCACCCAGCCATGAGGCCCAACATGTCTGTGACAGGTTAACCCTACAGCCACAGATAAGGTTCACAAACTTCCTCTCCTCCCAGAAGAAAAAGAAAATTTCCCAAAGGTGTGGGCCTGGCCACCTCGGGTCCTTCTTCTCACTACCCTCAGGGACTGGCATTGTTCAATAGGACTCATGGGGCCACGTCTGCCCTGTCCACGCCTGTACAAATGTTCCCGTTCAGCGAACCAAACTCAGGCATCACCAGCAAGTGGGAAAACACAGAAGGGAAGCCCAGCGACCCCACATGGCTCCCATGGATCAGCCATTCTCTACATGAAGCCTGTGGGCTATCCTGCGGGGCCACCCGGGCCCCTGGCCGAAACAGGTGCAGTGAGCACCTCTAAGACTGCCTGGGCAATGTGCCCTCCAGGCTCCTCTAGGTGAGGGTCCTAGCCAGGAAAGCGTTGAGGGAGACCCTACCCCCTGGCCTTCTCCCTGCAATCTTCCAAGGTTTGATGCGAAAAACTATTACCTGCAAACAGGATAAACAAGAAACAGATCCCTCCAGCTTTTACCAGCTGAATTCAAACAGCCCAGTTGCTCAGGACAGGGGCCGTCGGGGCCTGTCTGCTCCTGTAGGGACACCCAACTCTATCAGCCACAGCCAGAGCAGCAGGTGATCACTGGAGCCAACCCAACTCAGCAGTCATCCCCACACTGCAGTTGACCTTGACCCAGTGCCTTGTCCCTCCCCCAGCTGATCTGACCTAGCACCCTGTTTCCCTCTCCAGCTGACCTGACAGCACTCTGTCCCTCCCCCAGCTGAACTTACCCAGTACCCTGTTCCCCCCTCCAGATGACCTGACAGCACCCAGTCCCCCTCCCCCAGCTGACCTGGCCCAGCACCCTGTCCCTCTCCCCCTTGACTCCAGCTGTCCAGACAGCACCCTATCTGCCCTCCCCAAGCTGACCCAGTTGACAGCGGAAGCCACACCTGCGTTGGCATCCAGGAAGGCCCTCTCTGCCTCACCTGCACACTGTGGTGTGACTTGACTTGCCCAGCAAGTCCCCAGGGAGCTAGGTGCTGGACCACAAGGCAGCCTCATTAGGGTCAAGCTCACTAGGGCCTCCCCCTCCCACCCTTGCATGAGGGCCAAGTCGGGCTGGAGGTCTGCACCCTTTCCATTTCCCTGGGCTCCCCTGGCCCCCTTCAGGGTCTCAGGTTCCTCACCAGGGCTCACCTCCCAGTCCCTTCACCTGGTCCCGCGCCTCCTCCCCGTCTCTGTCCCCTCACCTGGGCCCGCGCCCCCTTCCTGGGCCTGAGCCCCCCACCCCGGCCCCTCACGGGGGTCCGCGCCTCACCCCCAACCCCCCGGCTCCGGCCCTTCACTCGGCCCGCGCCTCCTTCCCATCCCCGTCCCCGTCCCCTCCCCGGGGCCCGCGCCTCCTTCCCATCCCCGTCCCCTCACCTGAGCCCTCACTCGAGCCCGCGCCTCCTTCCCATCCCCGTCCCCTCACCTGAGCCCTCACTCGCGCCCGCGCCCCCTTCCCGTCCCCGGCCCCTCACCTGGGCCCGCGCCCCCTTCCCACAGGACGCAGCGTCACGGGTGGCTGAGTCGCGCACATACCTCGCCGGCGCAAACACGGCCCGCGCACGCGCACGGGGGCGGTGCTGCGGCCGCCCCTGCCGGATGAGACCAAGACGGGTACGAGGGGAGATCGGAACGTACCACGGGTTGGGACGGGGGTGGAGGAAGTCGCTGGGCGGCGCAGGACAGGGCGGAAGCTGCCGCGGACACCAGGGCCTGGCCGTGAGGTGACCACGATGCCCTGTACCTCAGGGAACACTGCCCGGATCCCCGCAGACCTGCGGCCGGCGTCCCCTGCCGCAGCGGCGGGAGCTGAGGGAGAAGCGACGTCCGCGCTGTGCACTGCCCCCTACAGCCTCGCCCCGGGCCCTTCCAGCACCCCGGGGTGGCCGGTCCTGGTCACGCGCCTCAGGCAGCCTTGCCGGGCGCTTCCTTCCGCAGAGGCGGCGCCCGCCGGGAAACGCCTCTTGGGGATGCTTGGTCCGAGCTGCTGAGACGGCCACTGCGTCGGGGCCTTCTGGAAGGGGCGGCTGAGCGCTGGTCGCCACCTCCCCTCCGGCCCAGGACCGCGGAGAGTGGAGGCCGGGGCTGCAGTGGCCGCCTGTGTCTGCGTGTGGGTCGCTTGGGTGGCCAGGCCGCGGAGAAGCAGGAGACGCCCAGTTCATGGACAACAATGTGGCTGTGGAGTGGCCTCAGCCGGCCTGCCGTACAACGTGCCCGCTGGACGCCCCCGGAGGCTGTCCAGGTGCAGCTGGCAGCCCAGACATGCTGCTTTGTGTTTCCTTGGTCGTGGTCACTCAGGGCTGCTGGCTGGGTGGCATGAGATAGAGAAATGCCCTGGGCCCCGTTGTCTCCAGTGTTTCCCCCAGCACTGGGCAGTGAAGGCACGAGTAGAGTGTGCCGGGGGCCAGCAGTGGCCAGCGGTGGCCAGTGCCTTCTTGCACCCGAGGACAGTACAGCTTCAGTATTTCGGGGTGCATCTTAGAGCTGAGAGCTAAGAGGGCTTTTGAGCGCTGCTGCTCTAAGTCATGGTGCAGGATTAGTGCCCACTACGGGTGTGGAAGCCATCACCCATTCCACCCATCCTGGTCTCTTACTGTTCACCTGCCCACTTGCTCCACACCACTCACCTCCTGCTTTCTGCTCTAACATTTGGCATGTTTTACTGCTATTGGGCATCTCTGCCAAGTGGCACAAGACTCTTCTGATCCTGTTAGTAACATATGCTCATTGCCTGCTGGCATCTGGTGTGGGCACCAGTTTGACTACCAGCTGCTGCACTTCTGCTTGAGCTCCTTGCTGATGTGCCTGGGAAGGCAGCAGAAGATGGCCCAAGCCCGTCACGAGTAGGGGAGACCAAGATGGGGTTCTTGGTTCCTGGCTTCCACCTGGCCCAGCCCAGCCCTTGTGGCCATTTGGGTAGTGACCCAGTGGATGAAACATTCTCTCTAACTTTACCTTTCAAATACATTAAATACATCTTCTCAAAAAGAGGGAGCTATCATTGGAAAGAGAAAAGGAATCTCTTGATTTCTAACCCCCTGGAAATGCTCCTGACCGGGGCAGCCCTGAGCTCCCCAGCTATCACTGGACACAGGGCAGAGATAGAAGGTTTGCTGGCCACAGCTCAGCTCCAGCTCTTGACACAACTGGCTGTCAGCTGCTTAGCACACACAGCAGCCTTTCCTGACTTGACTCTGCTGAGTCCCTCCCGCTGTGAGACCAGGCCTGGGGTCAGCCTTCACAAGAATACTGCAAGGTCAGCCAAATGAAGACTACTGCCCTAGACACCTGGTCACAGCCACCTGACCTTCCAGTCTTCTCACCTGACCTATCAGCAGGAGCCCTCTGTGTCAGTGTGGAGTCATTTCCACCCACACCCTGCCCTGCCTTGTTGTTAACCGCCCTGGCGGTGTCTCCCTTCCTATGGAGGCTCCATTTCCTGTTATAAAGTTAGCCCCAACTCGTTTATCAAGCACTGTTGGGCAGTGTCTCAATAACTGTGTCCAAATTAAATCTTAGAAGGAAGTGTCTTGCCACACACATTCCTGCTCTGACTAGCCGTTGTTGCCTTATTTTTCTGAATGGCAGCTGGGATCCAGGGGTATAGTTGGGGGCCCTGAGTGTCAGTCCCTGCTTCTCCCCTGCCCCAGGCTGCTGATGCTGGCTGCATGATCTAGAATGGATTCCGGCTTCCTCAACTGCAGCTGCCCAAGGACTGGACAGGCACTCAAAGTCTCTTGTCAGGTGAGAGATCAGGTAGGCTCACAGTAGCTGCACTGTGGGAGCTGTTCCTGTGAGCCTGCCTCATTGTGGGAATACCCTTGCTATGGGGACACACTTGCTATGGAGACACCCTCACCGTGGGGATGTCCCTGCTGTGGGATGCTTCTTATCACTGCAGATGAGAGTACCAAGCTCTGGCCCAAAGCCTGCAAGCACAGGTCAGCCGCACAGCAATGCCCTCCTAGCCCGAGATGTTATTTAGGCCAAGGGGAGACCCCATCCAGCAAGGGGAAGTCCTAAAGCCACACGGAAAGGGACCACAGTCTGCCATCCAGTTCCTCCCAGCATGATGCCTCGGTGATGGATGAAACACTTGGTGCAGATGCAGAGAAATGTGCCTTCCCTGACTCATCTGCCCCCACTGCTGTTCAAGGGGCAGATTTACAGACTCAAAACCACCCTCCTACCACCCGATAAAAGGTGATACACCACAAGCCCACAGGCCCACTGTTGGCAAGATACAGTGCAGGCAGCACCTGGCCAAATGGTCAACACTTACCTAGAAGTTCTCTTCCCAAACTCTCTCCCAAGCAGCTGCCCTGAGTGCAGATGCACGGACAAGGGTCAGCTAATCAGCGGTCAGTAGCTGAGGTTCTGGCCTGCTGCTTCTCTCTCTCCTTTAATCAAGCACACATCTCAGGACGGCACAGGGTTGTCGCAAGAGAGCCTCTCACCCATCCACTGTTAAGACAGCCAGCAGCAGCAATTCAAATTCCAAGGATGCCGCAGTGTTCATGAGTCAGTGGACGTCAACAGAGGGTGTCATACTGTGTGTGTCCAGGGATGAGGTCCTCCCATGTGGGGCCAGGCTGTCCCTGTGCGACTCACATGCTGCCCCACATGGCAGTGTCCACCCCTGAGCAAAGCTGGCAGAGCCAGAGTTTCCTGTGTCACTTTGGGTGAGCAGACCACCTGGTGATGTACAAGTGAGACACATAGGTCAGCTCCCTGCCTCCTTGGGTAAGACAACAGAGGGTAGACAGCTATCAGACACATGAGTCAGCACCCTGCCTCCCCAGGAGGGACAACAGGAAATGGACATGTGTCAGACACATGGGTCAGTACCTGCCTCCTCAGGTGGTAGGACAGCTGATGGACAGGTGTCAGACACACGATAAGCACCCTGCCGCCTCAGGTGGGACGACAGGAGATGGACAGGCATCAGACACACAGGTCAGCGTCCTGCTCCTCCGGGAGGAATGCGGATGTCTGGACAGAAGTCCTTCATCTTTAATCAAAAGCCACATGTCTCCAGCCCCAGTGTAACTGAGGTTTCTTTTATTCAGCTCTTTGCATGTGTTAGTCTTCCCCTGTCAGTAAATAGGCATCAGGAAAACCCATTAGCTGCTGACTTCCCAGCACGCAGCAGAATTCCTGTCAATCCACAATGTACTTGAAGAAAATAGAGTGGTTTGTGCTCAAGTTTGAAAACATCAAGAAAAGCTGTTAACCTCGGGGGTAATCACTGCTTCACAGAAAATAATACTGTCCACATCAACAAGGCTCTGGCATGCAAGTGCTTCTGAAACACCATTTTACTTCATTGTGTGCCCAGGAAATATCGATCAAATGAGAAAATCTCACACATGAAACCGTCACTTAACTTCAGGACACACCAGGAAGAGAGAATGTTCTGCGACAGAATTTGTTCCCCTCAAGAAACCTGCTCCCGGCTCCACTCAAGCTATTCATGTTAGACTCCTACTTTCCGGAATGTTCTGTCTGTGAACACTTTGTGTTGCTTGGACTCCCGTGGGACCTTGCTGTCCACCACCCCTCAGGGCTAACAAGGCCCTGAGGACAGCAGGTACAGATTGGAGGTCTGTAACAACTGCCCATAGCCCTGGTGGTGGCCTGCCTGTCCCACCGGGAGCCCCCTACCTCTTTTGCAGAGCTAGGCACTGACCAGAGGTGGCCAAGCACCCTGGAACCTGCAGCAAGAACTCCACTCAGTGCTGCAGACTGGGTCAGTCACTATTCACCTTCCTGTTCCTTCTTCCTTTGGGGGGAAGTGAAGGCCCTGCCAAGGCTGCCTGACTCCAGTTGTCCCGTGAGGCCCCATTCCCCCATAAGGCCCTGGGCACATGCTGCCCAGCCTGCTGCTTTTGGAGCAGCTGTGGCTTCCTCCCTTTCAGAGTCCTCTTGCTGCAGTTCATACAGATGTTTTCGGAAGAACCAATCCTTGTTTCCTCTGTTAACAACCTACAAGCAAGCCAAGGCCGAGAATCATGCCGGCTGAATGCAGTGTCCGACCACAGCCTCTGTGCACATGCAACTCAGTGTGGCAGGGCGCAAAGGCACCGCAGTTCTGGGATCAGACACCTGCTCAGGCAGCTAACCAAGAATCAGCAAGGAAAGCAGCGGTGCAGCCTTCCCCAGGCATCACTGTGGGGGAGACCCCACTCCATAAAGGACTTCCCTGGTCCCCAGCTGACAGTTCTCTTGGCTGATGTCTCCACAGACCACCCAGGTGTCCTGCCCCTAGGAATTCCTAGCATACACCCCAAGCAGGCTTCAGTCCCAGTCATTGCTAAAGTAGGTAGCCCCAGGGTGGCCCCAGAGCTAGGATGGTGGCCCAAGCACAAGGAGCAGCAGGGGCCTCAGAGGCTGGGTGGAGGACAAGGGTGTGGCCAGCGGGAGGGGACACACAGACAATCCCCTGGGTGAAGGGGTCATACAGCACAAACCCTGAGATAAGGCCAGGAGGGCAGCTGGGTGTGGGTGATAGGCAGGATGTGGGAGGCATCTTTCCTGAGCAGCCCTTTTTAAGGTTCATTTATCTGATAGAAAATGAAGAGAGAACTCTGGGTTCCTCTGCCTGCCGCAGAAGAAAGGGCTTGAAAGTGGCTCTGGCTGGCCCTGATGCACGGGACTGGACTCCCCGTCTATAGGGCAGTCCCTTCTGGGATTGGGTACGCCAGCAGCAGAGGCTAGGGCTGTGGAGAGCAGACCTGGGCAGCCAGGGGATTCAGGTACCAGGACCAAGGCCTAGCAGAGCCATGGGCGGGATGGGGGA